TCGAATACAATTAATTTATGATTAAATTCTTATTACACATAATTTCTTACTACACATAAGATCCGGGCTTAATTGATTAATTTTTGACGATTTTAGGTTTACTATATTCATTGTACTACACTTACTACACTCATACTACACTCGGGCTTTGTTCGTTTTCATGTAAATCTGAATTATCTTGAATTACCAAATAGTGACTTTTCCCAAATAAAAATAATAATGAAGACGTTTTCCCCAAATGATTTCTAATTAATTCCATTCATAAAACACATTAAATAAAATCGCTGTCTACTAACTTAACACATGATAAAATTTATTAGTTATGAGAAAAATACTATTTCCCAAATGTTTAAATGTTTTTCCCAAATTTCTCCAAACGATTCCCAAATTATATAAACATAAAGAAATCAGAAATATTCACTTTGTCTGCTATCTTGTCAGTAATCTTGAACGCACCCAATGATGAATCTCAGGAAATTTCCCGAGACTTGGCAACCCTGCTATGGCATCATTTGCTCACGCAAAACATTCAGATATCGCGTACACTTGGCATCCTTTTTGTTAATAGTGCAGTACGAAATTGAAAATATAATTAATAATTATTACTATTCGATAAATTATCGATCTTTTTTAATTCCATGTAAGTGAGGACGCTCAACCATCAGAGATCGATTTTGTTATCGGATACCCAAAATCGACGTCGTAGGTAAAAACGAATTTTGCAAAAATGAACTCGTCTTCTGTTAATAAGGTAGATTCTTCTCCTTTTTGTGTTTCTAAATATTTCTCAAGATGGTAGTGGTATCGAATTGTAGATTCTACTTTTTGTACAGAATCGTGTCAAACGAAAGCTGTGTGTGGACGGAACAAAGATGAAATATTGAGCGTCTGTTTGAGGTTAGACAAAGGATATTGCAGTCGTTTTCGCACTAATGCGTTTTCAATCGTAAAAGAAAAATATAAAAGATTAATTGATTTTCGTGCATGCAACGTGATCACAAGCTACCATCATGAGTAAAATGTATTCGACGGCAAATCTATCCGATAAGGAGTTGAAGGAACAAGGGAACCGTCTTTTCGATCTGCACAAATACGAAGACGCAGCCAGTTGCTACACAAAGGCAATCGTAAGTATAATGATATTTCTGATGCACGCTCAATCACATCGCACAATCACGTGAACCGTGACTTTGAATTGTGTCGCGCAACTTCGTGCGCCTACTCGCTATAGTTGTATTGCAGCAAAATATTTTTTGTTTTGAATCACGAATCACGCAGTGCTAGCGATAACGAGCAGAAGCCACGACGGTGCCCCTAGCGCCTGACATTCAAACTAGAATTTGGCAAAAGCGAGGGTGATTTAAAGGGATCCTAAAGTGAATCTGTTTTATCAATTTTTTCAAACAAATATTTTTCTAACTGCCTTTACAGATTAAAAAATCCTTCTTCATAAAATATATACGATAATGTAGTCCAAACTGATCGACTTTATATCAAAAACAAAAGAAGGTAAAAAATTATAATTTTGTTGTTTTTAATGTCGACTCGTAATATTTGCTTTATATTATATAAGTTTTATACTTCGTACGTATAAAACAATATTAGTTTGGACTAGACATTACATGAACAATCAATGTTGAGTACTTAGAATTAGGTTTAGATACTTAATACGAAAGATTAGTTAATTTTTATGTAAGAGTACGATATTGATGCAATAATGTGTAAAGATATTTGATGTGCCGCATCGGTAAAACAGTGATCTGATCGGAGTTCGGGCTTCACTTTAGGCTCTCCTTAAATTCGATCGTTTAAACTAAAAATGCAAAAAATAATTTTTTTTGAACAAAAAACTTTGAAACAAAAAGACCGAATAAAAAGTCGGTTTCTTACAATAGAAAACTGTTTTTTATCAACATCATGAAAAAAGAATCCATTTTTTTAAATATCGTTTAAAACGCTTTATACACACACACACACACACACACACACACACGCGCGCGCGCGCGCGCGCGCGCGTTAATTTAATATTATTTAATGTCTTTTTTATAATTTTAAATAACAAGTCTTTACATTATTGTGATGCCTAATAAATTGATAATGACTGCACCTAGTAGAAAAAGTTTTGCAATTGTTATAAAATTCTCTAATATTGATTGGTCATAATTTTAGTGCATCACTAAATCTAAATGTATAAACTAGTCATGTTAAACAATTTTACAATTGCAAAGATGTTTTCTCTGCAGATAATATCTTTTCGAAATATTGTATTATATATCTATGACCAACGTCACTTTAAACTGTGTTCAGTTTAATTCGCTCAAATACTTTAAATATTTATGAAGCTTGTTTTTCTTTTGTTGAACTTTTGACATGATTTATTTTTTTTTTTTCTCCACAGAAAAAAAGCAGAGATAAGAGATACATATATACTGTGGAAGAAGTTTGTTTTCAGTTAAAAAGAACAGGCTTATTATCATTCTGTTTCTATTGTTCATTATAGATGACAATAGAAAAGATAGAAATACTAAAAACGCTAAAATCAAACGCAACCTTAGCCATAGTAGCTGTACTGCATTTTAATTGTTTATGCTATTTACAGCTATCTGTAAACAGAAATCTTTTTGATAAATGCACAAATTCGTGAATTCTATCAAATGTCAAATATCTAAGGAAAATACATATCCAAGTAAAAAAATTTATTTTTACTGAATTTTTAATTTAAATCCAATTTTTTACAGGATAATTTTTACCTCTAGTTTGAGTACATGAGAGAAAAATAGGATAAAAACCAGAAATAAGAAGAATTACTTTACAAATTATTTATAAGTTACTTTTTGTCATAGAAATTAAGTATAATAACTGTAAGGATACTTTTTTTTATATTATATATGTTATCACATTCACTTCAATTTTGTATTATTTTTGTACAATTTTTATATCAAACACAGTAAGGTAACCTAAAAAGTAACTTGTAAAATAATTTTTCTGGATCATGATCTAATTCCATCATGCTCTAGATGAAACAATATCATATATATAAATAAAAAAAAATGATTTTATTTCTGTGGAGGAGCAATTCTCTTTTTATTTATTATTAATATTTTTCTGATTACCTAAAAAAATTTCAAAAATCATGCAAAAATATTATTAAGTACCAAGAGTTAATCTGCTTTGATCAAATATGACCTTCGCTTATTTGTATTAATATTTTTTTTTTTATTTTATTTGAGATGAAGAATCCAGGTCAGGCATTATATTACACAAATCGAGCATTGTGTCACTTGAAACTGAAACGATGGGAATCTGTGTGCAAGGATTGCAGATGGGCGTTAGATATAGATCCTTGTTTGATGAAGGGTCATTTCTTCTTAGGACTCGCCCTATTGGAATTGGAACTTTTTGATGAAGCTGTCAAATATCTGCAAAGAGGTAAATACAGCGAGATAAATTATATTCTCTTTTTTTCAATTGTAAAGATTTATAATACAGGATTATACTTATTTCAAACAATACTTATTTCAAACAACATAGCTGTAGATTTGGCGAAAGAACAGAAGCTGAACTATGGCGATGATATCACCAGTGTATTGCGCCAAGCTAAGAAACGTCGATTCCAAGTAAGGGAAGAACAAAGAATTTCTCAAGATATCGAGTTGCAAACTTATCTGAATCAGCTGATCATAGATGATGCAAAGCGTAACTTGACAACTCTACAAGAACAAGAAACGTCAAAGGATTCTAATGTTGAAACAAACTTAGCAGAATTCATTAGAAGAAAAGAAGAGATTGAAGAGAAGAGAGATACCTGTATATCGAGACTTAATGATCTCTTCGCCAAAATAGACGAGAGAAGGCGGGTTCGTATCTCTGTTACTTTTTTTAAAACAATTTTTTGCTTTCATATTCCATGATTTTATTAATACAACGTTGTTAAGTATAGAGCACCTCCATAATGGACACAACATATATAACAAATATATATATATATAGCAAACATATATATTCTACATATATAAAAAAATAAATAAATTACAAACAATTTTATTGAGAATAAAAGTTTTATTTATTTATATAAAATTGTGATTAAATTTATAGCATTAATAAAATATTCTAATATTTTAAAAGATGACAATAAGAGTCAAAGGAAAATTAATAAAATATTTATAATAATAAATACGGCTCTGAATAATAAATCTAATATAAAGGAAGGAAACAAAAATTGCGAATTAAGAACCAACACTGTTAACAGTATTTAACGGTATACGAAAATCTTTATTAACATTTAACAAACGTGCATATGTACGTTTCAATCAACGTTTTCAGTCCTTATCAATGCAAATACAAAAATACAAACTATTATTAATAAATAAATATAACGAATAACAACGAATGTCTTATAGTTACAATACGTGTAAACAGCGCATGATATCTTGCATAATGATCATCTAGTTACAGAAGTCAGAGTTGTGAACAGAAAAAAGTCCACACTTAAGGTGTATTATAATAATGGCCAATTGTTAGATAAACCAATATAAACGTCAGTCATTATACAATATCTTCAACCGATGTATTATCAGTAGGACAAGCCATCTTACATTAATCTAAAAATGAGAATGATACGGAGAGATTTTAATACTGCTGTTTCAAATGAAAATTATATTAAAGTGAAATAAAATTTCGTGACTGTGTTGGTTGAGAGTTAGAGCAATGACTCAACTGACGAAATTTTGCTACTGTTATTTATTAATTTTTCTTTGGCTTTGATTCCATCTTTTTTTTGGAAAAATACAATAAATTGAAAATGCTTTATACTTATGGCCAAGGCTATAAAATTCTGATGCAATACATATCAGTACAATAATACAATTCTGTAATATTAATTAAAATTACAGGATATTAGTGATAAAAAAAATCAGGAAAAGTTAGAGAAATAAGAAAATTTATTAGAGATAAAATTAAATCACTGTAATACTAATTTTAAACTTTATTTCTTTAAAAATTATTAAATACACTTTTTTTTAATTATTTAAGAAAGCGTTGTAAATATTTTTTATAATTTTTCAATTTTACAAAGAGCAAAAAGTATTTTTCGTAAAAAGTCATTAGCAGACATAGTTAATCTTTAATACACGTCTTTGGGTTATTCGAGTCCTGCTACAATATATACAATACAACATTTATGTATATGTTACAATATTGTCACAATATGACAATTCATTATAAATGTACAACTTTATAAATACTTTCTAAAGATGTCAAATATACATAAAAATTGCTTAATAATTTTTACACACTTATAAAAGTGATGAGAATTAATTCAGAATACGAAAGATTGTAATAATAATAAGGAGGTCAAAAACTAAGATGTGTACTAAGGATTAAAAAGAGAAATATAATAAAATTATTATTAATATTATATAAAATATATACAAAAATTAATAACAGAAGAATTAAGAGCCAAATTTTTCGTATATTTAAATTCTTAAAAACACATACGTTTCGACCTATTTGTCAGGTCATCCTCAGTGTATACATGTCGATAAATTAATGCAAATTTAATAAAAATAAAATGGTTACATACAATACAATTTCTGCAAATTATAGTTACGCAAAGTAGTGGATCTATTTTTTCATATTTATTTTCAGTCGCAACAACGTAATAATGTTTTCAGTCTTGTCATCTTCGTAGTTACATTCTTTTATTACATCGGTCGCAATTTATCCATATTGATAATAAAATTAAGTAAACATATAGAGTCATTCTGTAAAATTGTGCAAACACACATTCTCAATGTGAAGATTTAGCCAGAATAATCTAGTGATTGAAATAATACGTCAAATTAATTTAACAGAGGCAAATGCGATTAAAAGTTAAGAAAATTAAAAACAGTTAGAAATTACTGTTTTCAATTTTCTTAACTCTAATCGCATTTGTCTCTGTTACATTAATTCGATAAATTGCAATCGATGTAATAGAAGTTTGTAACATGAAGATGACAAGACTGAAAGCATTGCATTGCGACTGAAAATAGATACGAAGAAATAGATCCATTACTAACTATAATTTACAGAAATTGTATTTAACCGTTTTATGATTTTTATTAAATTTGCGTTAATGTATCGACACACACACACACACACACACACACACACACACACACACACACACACACACACACACACACACACACACACACACACACACACACACAC